TTTCTTTTTGTTCTTTCTGTGTTATGAGTGGGGTGGTAAATCCACAATTTAGATGTCAACATATTTTAAGGGTAGAAACCTCCTCAGCAATGGAAAATCACCTGGTTCCCACCTGATGTTATCTTGAGTAGAAGAAAAAAGACACTGTTGAAAACACTTGACTAATATCTCTCTGAGTTCTTAACCTTTAATCACTCAAAAAAAACCCCCAAAACTAAAACTTCTATAATTAATTCAGGCAACGCAAGGAAAAGTGTCCTCTCCCCTGATTGGTGGTTAAGAATTCCTCTAAAAGAAATACAAAACCAAAATTTTTTGTTAAAACTCAAAGGGATATTAAGAAGCAAAAAGAAAAGAGAAAGAAAGAAAAATAGGGAGGAAAAAAAAGAAGGAAAGGGAGAGAGGGAGAGAGTTATATAGAGAGAGAGACAGAAAGTGAGAGAGCGAGAGAGAAAGAAAGAGAGAAAGAGGAAACCATGAAAATCAAAACACTGGTGAACTGCAGTGAGGTGTGAGAGAGCATGACTTGGGCTTTTGGGTGTTGATGATGTTTTATTTCTTGATCTTGGCAGTGATTACACAGATGTTTATTTTACATTTATTAACCTTTTCTACATGTGTTATAATTCACATATTAAAAAAGATTGGGGAGGGAGAAAGAAAGGGAGAAGAAAAGAGAGGTATAATAATTCATCACAGTTTTGCTATGAAATGAAGCAAATAATTAGGCAGTATCCCCACTGAGATATAAACAGCGATATAAAGTACAGAGACTATACTGCTGTTTATTCTGCTTCCGACCCTTTTTAAAAAAACAGGAAATATTAAAAAATATTTGGTTGTTACTGAAACTTCCCTATAGTTTAGGGCTGAAGTGATGTGGGGAAAAGGAAAAGAATAATTTCTGGAGCTGAGCTGCCCTGGAGACGACTTGTAGGGTGCATCTTCGATAAGTTTGGGGATCTCTTAATTCCTGGACAAATTAGTGAGATTTTTATGGACAGATGGAGTTAAAATTATACATTTTTCAATGAAAATTTAATTTTCTTCAGTGGGAGGAGTTAGGTTTTTCCCTAAGATGACTATGAAGGAGGAGTGACCAGCCTGTGTTTTCACTGTTTCCAAGCAAATGGCCCAAAGCAACACTCACCGGGGTTTGTCCCTGCCAGGCGGTTCATTAGGTAGGATTTTCCCGTCTGGTGCGGCCCTGCAATGGCCACCACCACCACAGGCTGAGAGATCTTGTCAAGGATCTCCAGTGCTTTTGGATTTACTCTCAGTTGATTTTTCTGGTTTTCCACCAGGCAGATGAGGTTCATTGTCGTGGATCCAGACGCCATGGTAAGCTGTAACCCAGAGGAAGAACTCAGTAAAACGCAACATCCCAACGTCATATCTAATGGTTACAGAAGTCATTCGCATTATCAACTTTTTGCTGCTGGAGCTTATATGTCAGCTTCTTACATTTTGTATGTTCCTAAAAGATAAGTTTTTGGCCTAGTGTGTCCAAGGCCTGGTACAGATACTTTATGTACATTATCAAATTAATTCATAAATGAACCCTCAAACTGAGGCGGGAGAGTAAGAAGGTAGAAAAATTCCTGTGCAAATGGAATTGCAAACTGAGACAAGAAAATTAAATACGGCCAAACAATTTGAACAACTTATAGTTAGCTAGTGAACTGAAAGACCTTATCTTCCCTAACCAAGGACACTTGAAAGCAAATGGTTCACATCTCTCCTCCCTAACCATAGATATACGGCTTAAATCACCCTGGTTGGGAAAATAGAGGACAGAGAGCCAGTTAATGCAATGTATTCTAGTTCGATGCCAAAACAGATGAAGTTGAGGAACAAACAAAATCTCAATTAAGCCAGACGGATCCAAGATAAAAGTAAAACAGCAGATCATAGAATAATCCAATGCTTCCCTATATGCTCATTTGGAAGCATCAGTATATTGAAAACACATCTGGAAAGCTGTTGACTATTCTGCTGAAAGCCCCCTTTAAGATTCTTGCCCACAAAAGTGAGGAATAACCTTCAAGACGAAGGGTACTGATGTGGGCTCTCTCTAGAGCATGTCCATGCCCTTTCTAGGGCATGAACTTTTTAGTGCCTTCTTCCTAAACTCTGAGGGTCCCAAGAGACTTATAAGCAGTGGGCTCCTTGTCCCCGTCTTTCCTCGTGATCCTGTCTCCAAGTCCCCCCTTCTCTGACTTTCCATTGAGCTAACAGCAGCCCCACCACAGCTCACTTCCTTCCGATAATGTTTCTAGAGAGGGAAAGCAGAGCACTGCCTAGTCTCTCCCTGTTGCTTCTTCTACCCTAAGTCCTTCCTTTGTTTCACTGTCCGCAGCTTTAATAAACGTTCTCTCAAAATCACCTGGACTCCTGTTATGAAGTCTTTTCTGCTCAAAGTCACACCCATGCATCACAGGCTGGCCTGAGAAAAACCCACTCTGGGCCCCATCCTTGTCCACTGACAAAACAACCTTGCTTATCTAATGGATAAAAGGAACAGAGAGAAAGACAAAGCACTGACGATGGCGCCTTCAGAACACTAACACAATAGGGGTAAGTAGAGGCAGAAAGGGACATGCAGGAGACGAGGAGTGACCAGAGAAGATACCTGGAGTTCCAGAATGATCTGGTTTCTCATTAACTGCATACGTTTTCTGTACCTACTATGTGCCGGGCACTGTTCTAGGTGCTCTGTATCAAGTGGCGAACAAAAGGGATACAAATTCCTATCTGAAGGAGCTCTGTGCTAGTGGGAGGAGACAGATGCCGAATAAAGCAAATAAGCAACATGCATGTTGCATGTGTATTAGATGATGGGAAGTGCTCCCCAGAAGATAAGCAGGGGCCGTGACAGGGAGTGTGGGGCTGAATCGTGTAGAGGGTGGTCCGGGAGGGCTCTCGGGGTAGAGAAATAAATGTGACCTTCGACCCTGAGCAGGACAGGCTTAGGGAATTATGGGAGTGGAGCAGCCAGAGGAGGGAAGACTCTGAGAAGAAGAAGAGATAAAAATGTGACTTGCTCTCAAAACACCATGGGACAGACCTTTACAGGACTTAAAGTTATGAGGGCAAGAATTCATTTATTTAACAGTAATACAAGGCCATTTCTTTTTTGTATGCTGACAGGAAAGAGGCAGTAGCCAGGGTGTTTCAGGGTGAGTCCAGATCTGCCAGAACCCCACAGCTGGGTGAGGCCCGACTTGAATGTTTTCATCGCAGGGGGTATTTCATGAAATCAAGGGACAGAAAGCAGTGAAATGCTTTGACTGTCCCTTTATTTTCTCAAAGACAATTCTAACCAACTTTCATGTATTCCCATACTTTCCTAGCTGTGTGGCCATTAGAAAGATTAAGTTCTCTGTGCCTCAGTTTGTTCTTCCATGAAATGGCAACACTAAAAATAATAATAAAAAATAACAATGAATTGGTCCTTAGGGTCATTAGGAAGATTAAATATATGATAAAATTTATAATGCTGTTAAAATGATGTGCTACATACTGAATCCTATGTAAGTACTGATGAAAAATTGAAACTCTTAGAGAGCAGGGATGGTAGTTCTAAATGAAGGTGAAGAGTTGACTTTGGACTGAAACAATGACACTCCATGCCCAGTTACAAGCAGGTGGGGGGACACGTCCCATCACGGGGATGAGCAGGCAGGACAGGACCAGCAGTACAGCTGGAAGGGGGGACAGTGAGGGAGGATGAGTCCTGTGGGAGAGCCCAGGGCAGTCCTGGGGTGTCAGAGCACAGATTCTGGAGTGGCTGCTGGGTTCAAACTCCAGGGTTCAAATCACTTACTCAAGGTCAGTGAGACCTTCAAAAGGGAATTTACCTGTGTGAGCCTCTGTTTTCTCATCTGTGTTAGAGAGAAAGCAAGGATTTCTGCCTGATTCTTTTTTATTTATAGGCTGCTATGTACCAGACAGGGTTTCAATAAACTGAGAAAATTTCTAGAATTAGTGTAGTGTTTTAACAATGAGCAAGTTAAGCAATGCATTCAAATGTGTTGATATATTTGGTGCACTACAAATTGCCAAGATATAACAAGGTATCTGAAATTTTGTCAGAAAATAACATGAATTTGTTTAACAGACATCCTTTTTACCATTTCTCTACTTTTCTCTAGGCAATTGGGAGCAGAATTTGGGAGTAAAACATGAGTCTTTTATTGCTGTATAATGATCAGGAGGAATTGCAGGGCTTATTTGTTGGACTGAACATTCAAAATTTGGGGTAGGAATAGACGTGTTAAGAAAACTTTAAAAAAATATAAGTACACTGGAATATGCAAGCCAGAAGCTATTAACTTCAAACAGACAAGTAAAATGAAATAGTGCTGCTGTGTGCAGTTGGTTTCCAAAGTTTACTCGTCAGGAGAGTCAGTCACCTGCAGTGGGGGTGAGAACTGCCCTGAGCCCTGGCTTGTCAGCAGGTGTCACAGCGTGCTCTGACACACTTCCTCATGTGGACCACACATTAGAATTAAGGCATGGTGAACAAACACTACTCGATCTTATAGTTATGTTTAACACTTGATCAGTGAGCATCGGATTGAATTATTCTACATAACGCAGCTTTGTATTATCTTTGGGATATTGAGTATTATTATACAAAAATAATCAGAGTCTATCTTTCAGTATTTGAATTGTCTGTAAATCAAGAACCATTTTTTCCCTCAGTTTCTCCAACGGTTGGGGGTGGGGGTGGAGTGGGGGTTGGGGGTGTGGTGGGGGCCTGGGAAGCAGAGACAGTCTGAGGAGAGAGGAGGGAGCTGGGTGGGGGAGGACTCCATGGAGCATCTCTGCAAGCTGATGGGATTTACTAGGTGAGTGCCAGGGAGGACTTGAGCCCCCTTTGACATTTGAGGCAGGATGCGTTCCTCCTCCTCCCATGCAGGGCTATTTGTGTAGCACTAGGTGAGTGTCAGAAGAGCAACTCATTCCGGTGGCAAGGTACTGGTGCGCTGGTCACCTCACAGGGGCCTCTGATCCAAACGGAAATGCTGAGCTGCTGGGAGTCTGGCCCCAGCAGTAGCCTCCCGCTGCCACCCTGCCAGCCAGTGCCCACCCTGATCTTCCGGAGTGGGATGCGCCTTCGGGCCCATGTTGTTACTGGGGATGTTTAAGGAACATGAGGACATGCTATGGAAAATCAAGTCCAGGAGATAACTTACCTGTCTCCGGATCTGAAAACAGGGGACACGTGCTCAGCTGCCCTCGCTATTTCCAGGAGTGCTCCTCCAGCGTCTGGCTCCCCCGGATACTGACTGTTCTCTTTAGGAGGTGAACACGTGCCAGCTCTTACAGGCAAGCAGTTATGGCTCAGGCTGATAAGAACCCAGATGGAAAGGACATGTGTTTTTTTGAGAAGTGAATCATTGGGTGCCCCCTCCCTTTTCTTTTCTTTTTGTTTTTGTTTTTTAACTGAGGCAGGTGAGGTGGGAGGAAAGTCATGGTTGCTCCACACCTGCCTTCAGAACCCCAGGTTGGTCCCTTCTCCATTAGCCGTGTTCCCTGCACCCGCAAGGAATACCCAGCAGCAGGCTGAACGTGAGCCAAAGAACAGCAGGTGTAGTTCTGTGAGGAAAGGTTTCGTTACTGTAACTAATTTCTTTTCCTTAATTTTTTTACTTGTTCTTCTCCATCCTTTTTCAGAGTATTTTGCGTTCAACATGTTTTTGTTTCATTAGCATAAAAAATACCAGTGTGAGTGTACATAAATTTCCTGATTTTGTAGCCCAGACAAATTCATTCTTATTTTGTTGCATATACTTACAGTTGTTTCTTGTTTATAGGAGAGTGGGTTGGATTTGGTGGGCAAGGGATTGATGACTGAATATAGTTTGAGAGTTTACTTCATATAAAAAACCAGAAAAGTAGAAATTGATAAATGAATATTCACAATGACCAAAACCATGTAGCAACAGTTTTAAAAAGCTGACAAATGCTGCAAACATTTTGTCTCATAATTTTGTTTACTTTCTGTTCAGCTACTCCTATCATATTTGAACTTCAGTGTAAGCCAGAATGCTGGCATATATTTTTTAGTGGTATACCCAAGGAAATTTAATTCACTTTAAAAATTGCATTACATTGTACTGAACTACAGAACAAAAATAGCATTGAGTGTCTATTCTATATCAGTCCATATATTTCTGTGAGATGGGTTCTTTGATAATAACAATGATAAATTAAAAAAATCAGATTATAGAGACTTAATTTTAAGTCTGTTTCAATTTTATTTGCTCATTTATTTTGTTCTTAGATTCCACCATGTAAGGGAAATCATATCATATTTGTTTTCCTTTTACTGACTTATTTCACTTAGCATAATACCCTCCAGGTCCATCCATGCTGTTGCAAATGGTAAGATTTTGTTCTTTTTATGGCTGAGTAGTATTCTGTTGTATATGCATGTCACAGATTTTGTATCCACTCATTTACTGAAGCACCTTAAACACATTGAAAAATTATGGTCCAAATGAAACTACAAAATACTACTTCTTTTCTTTACTATTTTATTTATTTTTTAAAAAGACTTAATTTATCTTTAGAGGGGAAGGGAAGGAAAGAGGGAGAGAAATATCATTGTATGGTTGCCTCTTGTACATCCCCTGCTGGGAACTGGCCTGCAACCCAGGCATGTGCCCTGACTGGGAATTGAACTGCCATCCTCTGGTTCGCAGGCCCGCACTCAATCCACTGAGCTACACCAGCCAGGGCTTTCTTTACTATTTTAAATGTCACACAACTGCATTGTGGACAAGACCCTGGCTTCCTCAATGAGTGATTGTCATGGGATAGAAGCCTGAGGAACCCTGAGCACACGGACTGTCTAGCTCCTCAAAGAGGACTGGGCAGCAGATCCACACAGGTGTGTAGTGTCCCTTCTGCCTCAGTGAGTCTCAACTTCACCAGTTTCTAAAGCTGTATCTTTTATTTTGAGGCTATGGAAAGCAGTTAATATAGTAAGGACTTGGTAACTGGCGTCCCATTGGATGGCAGGTCATGGGTGTACTCACCACTATTTTTAAATAACTGGTGTTTACAGGGTGGGCTGTGTCGTGGGAGTTAAATACACGATGATGAAGATCATCAAATAGATGAGATCATGAGGCAGTCAAGTGGACATGGCTGTAAGTGGGTCATTTCAATTTTGCAATGATCTGAAAGTACTATGGCAGCAGGGATAACATGGCACAATGGCAGCACAGGGAAGACATCATTTCCATTCACAAATAAGCCATGGTTGGAGAACAGAAGCTAGCAAATAAAAGGTATGGGGTGAGGAAGCCAGGCTGTTTAGGGAAGTTTGTGTTCTATGGGCAAATATCCAAAGTCAAAAGAATACATACAATGTTTGAAATTAAAAGCAGTTTATTCTAAGCACAGTGTCTTAAGCACCACAGAGTTGAATTCTTAAAATATTTAGTTGACCCTAAGTTTTTTTTCTTCAAATTCACGATCTTTATAAATGTGGGGCAGGAATCTGGAGACCATTCCTGGCGACATCCCAGTAGACATTATATTGGAACGTAAATTCAGGACTAGAATTTCAGGGTCTTACTGAGAGACCCAAAGGATGACAAGGTTAAGATGTACATCTTGCAATTTCTGCTTCCTGCTGTGATAAGTAGACTGTTCCTGTTGAGATGACTTAGGGTATTTCTGTAAATGCTTTGATCCTGTCATGGGAATTTTCCCTTCCATATATTGTTATTTCAACTTTAATCTTAACAATTATATTTATTTGTTGTTTGAATAGGTAATAATTCCTGTAAGATGTAACAGGCACAGGGTACACAATGTAATGTTATTGATTTTCTGCAAGCTCATTACTCTTGTGTCCAGTATATAAGTTTGTTTTGGGCACAGACAGATCACAGTGTATTCACATATTTATTGTTGTCTATCTAACTCAGTGGTCGCAACTATGCACAATTCTGCATCATTTTTAAATTTATATAAATCTTTTAGAGTTCTTTATGTTAGTACAAATAGAGCTTTTCCTTTCATTTCAGCAACTGTTGAGTATTCCTCTGTAAGTCTATCTCAATTTCACCCAATTAGTGCCTCACATAGGGAATTTATGGTTGTTTCCAATCTTTTGGAATTTATAAAAATCCTGTAACAATATATCACTACATATGTCATCGTCTGTTTTTAAAGATTTTATTTATTTATTTTTAGAGAGAGTGGGGATGACAGGGAGAAAGAGAGTGAGAGAAACATCGATGTGTAGTTGCCATCTGGTGACCTGGCTTGCAACTCAGGCATGTGCCCTGACTGGGAATCAAACTGGCCACTCTTTGGTTTGCAGGCTGGCACTCAGTCCACTGAGCCACACCAGCCAAAGCTACATATGTCATTTTCAACTTGGGTAAATCTATAAGATAAATTCCTAACTGTGGACTTGCTATACCAACATTATTTGCATTTAAATTTTAATGTATATTTATACCAGTTTGCAAGCTCGATAGCAAAGAAGAGAGATTTCCAGTTTCCTGAAACCCCTGCCTGTTTACTGTCCTATCAGAGCTGTTCTTTCTGGACTACCTGACAGTGACCCAGGGACCTCCCAGTGTCACTTTGCATAGCTTTATAATCCATAAAGTTAAACATTTGTATTTACCCTTATACTTTTGCCCATTTAAATGACATATTTTGGTTGGTGCTCTTTGCTGCCAGATTCATCAGGCCTGCCACAGCTGAAGAAATGATCTTCGTGCCTCTGATGCAGATGCCAGGGTTTTCTTCATCTTTCCATTCACCTTCTCGCTTTGCTTAAATATTTTCTAGGAAGAAATCATTATCTCCTAACTTATTTTCCATTTTTTAATTAATCCATTCAATCAAACTAAACTGTTTTTTGGATATCAGGGCCTGATATCCTTTTTAATCACTATTTTTAGACTTTTCTTGAATGAAACCAGCATGACAGTATTTCCTAAATAAGCCACAATGCTATACTATATTACAGCATAAGAAGCCTTTTAAGAATACACTCAAGAGGAATTCTCAAAATATTTAATAAATGAACTGAAGCATCTCATTGCTACACTTATTAGCTTACACCCCCCAGGGGGCACTGTGATGAACACAGTGCTAGCCATATTGTTGATGATGTATGGGGGAGCTCATTGACTTTATTTTTTCCATTCTCTTCCTCCACTTGTTATCTCTTTAATCATCTCATCTCTTTAAAAAAAATCCTTCAGTAAGTAGTCCTTGGATTTGTAAACAAGAAAAAGCTCCCTTTTGAAAATCCCAATAATTGGAACTTTATTTAAAAACATCAGGAGTTAAATACATGTTCTGTACAAAATTACATGCCCTTTGATGCTTTTTGTCCAATATTTCCAAACCTCGGACCTCATAGTGGGAGTATCCATGATTTACACCATCCTATAACTGCTTATCACAATCTCACTGCAGGTGGTGAGGTGTTTGGGGCTGATTCTATCCTGACAACTATGCCAGGAATGTATTCCCATCCTAAAGATGCTCTTTGGGAAGGATGAAGATTTTATTCTATGCATTTTCTGGTTCCATTGAAGTAGGATGATACACTCATGTAACAAGTAAAGGCAACTGCTAACTCTCTGTGGAATGCTGGTTATCAAATTCCAGGTTGGGACCCAAAAAGCATTTTACTCTGGATTTATAGAATGAAGCAGGCAGACATGAAGCCAATGCAGCAAAATTTAGAGCTTTCATTATTTCATATTTCATATCATATACAATCTGATACTTTCAGAACAGAGGAATCTATACCAGGTCTCCTTGCTGGTTGTACAAACATCCTAAGAACTAAAGTCCTATTCACTTGGGTGCACAATAAGGCCCTGTGAGCACCATGGCCAGCAGTCCAGGAACCTGCAGCATGTTATCTGTAACCCCCTAACTTTAGTACCACAGAAAGTGCTGGGTCTCAAAGAGTAAGGATTTTAAAATGATCCGGTTAATCTGACATTTCACTGAATCATATGCCTTTGGATTTCCTTCAGTTTTTGTTCTTTCCTTTAGTTTTCGTTATTGGTTATTTGTTTAGGTTTTGCCCAGGTGCAACCTAGACTTACGTTCAGCTTGTGCTCCAGCATTCTTTCCTGCTCTCTCAGTAAGTTTTCTCTCTTTCTCTAGGTATCTCATTCAACTGGGCTATGTTTTCCTTGAAGCTTCTCTCTGGAGCCTCCCTTTTTTGCCTCAGTTCATTCAGTGTTTGTCTCAGAAGGTCCTGTGCCATTTCCACTGTCTGCTTCTTGGCATGCTCAGGTGTCCCACAGTGGTTTTACAGAGACTCAAAAATAACAGTTATACTGAGCTGTAGCCTTAAAAAGTAAGAGACTGAAATGACTTGTCAGTGGCAGAGAGGAATCTCTCTCTGGGTGTTGTAACTAGCAGTACCAGCATGTTTCAGAATGTGATGGGAAGGAATTGATTGGCTAAATGAGCAATTCTCCTGGTTATTTTTAGATTTAGCCAAGTTGTTCCACAAAAACAAATCCTTTGTTTCAAGAAGGCTGTGCTCTCTCACATTAAAGGGCACTGCAGGAAACTATCCCCGCTCTGTGATCAGAGCCCTTTCCTGTACCGGCTAAATCCTTCTCCCCAGCAGCGAGGGCTCTGTCTGCCTGCAGGACGGATTCCACTGTGGCAGCCTGTGATTGCAGGAGGCTCTGGAGGATGTTTGCCTGAGGAAACAAGAAGCAAAGATTCTTCTTTCTGGGGAAATCATGTTCAAAAAAGCTACAATTTGACCCTGTAAATCCTTCTTAGGGTCACACAGTGGTTCCCTTTCTTCCATAGTCACAATAAAAAAATCAGATTTCTGCCCTGGTTGGTATGGCCCAATGGATTGAGTACTGGCCTGCGAACCAAACAGTTGCTGGTTTGGTTCCCAGTCAGGGCACATGCCTGGGTTGCAGGCCAGGTTCCCAGTTGGGGGCGTGCAAGAGGCAAGCACACATTGATGTTTCTCTCCCTGTCTTTCTCATTCCCTTCTCCTTGCTCTAAAATAATCTTTAAAATGTTAAACTTCTTCAGTTAGAATAAAAACCTCTTTGGCAACCTCTTTCCTAGCTCTCTAGCTTCCTGTCCTAAAGATGCCAACTACCATCACCATCCACCCAGGTTTACACACAGTTCTACAAACACTCCTCCTCCGTGGTTTTCAATATCTGCACATTCTTTTTCTTCTGACTGGATGCTTGTCTACCCTTTCTTTACTCAGATACAATTTATTGCTACTGCACCTTATAGCTACTACCTCCTCTTCCAGTAAGCTTGCTAACCTTCCCTCTGAGATTTAACTGGATGCCAGGTACACAGACCTGCCCTACCAGCTCTATCACTTGCTGACTGTGTGTTCTCAGGCAACTTACTAGCTTCTCAGTGCATCTGATTTCTCATTTGGCTAATGTGGATGACAGTGTTACCTAAATTCACTTTATTCTGAATATTAAGTTGATAGTCCAAACTCAGTGCCTGAGACTATAACTGATTTAGGAAGTATGTGTTCAATATATATCAGCCAAAGCAGCAGCAGCATCAGTGTATACTTGTGTGATAACATTATCCCACCACGTCCAACTGACTGTTTATATTCCTTTTTTAAGTAAGATCATAAGCTTCTTGAAAACATTGTTCCTTTAATTATGTATCCCTTAAATATAGCACAAAACTATTTCATTGTTCCCTAAATGACAGGCATGTTGTCTTTCATCTACATTCGTAATGTTAAAATTTGTGTTTGGGAATCATATTTTTTGTTCATTTAAAAGTATTTAACTAATTGTGGATAAAAAGGAGAAATGTACAGATATTGCCATGCTTTGCTGCCTCTTCACAAATGGTCCTGAGGTCTTAGATTTTCAAAAGAATCTACAAAGGCCCTTGGACCCTAATGTACTGTTCTCCTGCCCTCTTTTTATTCCTCATGTTAACTCCTTTCCAGGAACCAGGTCGCAGAACTGTTCAACCTTGTCCATTCCTTCTAAGTACAGACTGTATCCTCCAGGCACAGAGAATGTTCCTCTTGAAATGTCTTCCACCAACGGCTCTGAAAGCTGCCTTAGCTGAGCCTGGCAATATTTGCCAGATTCTCCTTTTTTTAAAAAAATATATTTTATTGATTATGCCATTACAGTTGTCCTATTCCCCCCTTCATTCCCCTCCACTCTGCACACCCTCCCCCACCATTTACGTCCATGTGTCACAAGTTCTTTAGATTCTATATTTTCCATACTATTCTTGCCCTCCCCCCTGTCCATTTTCTACCTACCATCTATGCTACTTATTCTCTGTATCTTCTTCCCCCTTCTCCTTCTCCCACTCCCCTGTTGCTAACCCTCCATGTGATCTCCATTTCTATGGTTCTGCTCCTGATCCAGCTGTCCTCTTAGTTTGCTTTTGTTTTAGGTGTGGTTGTTAATAACTGTAAGTTTGTTGTCCTTTCACTGTTTATATTTTTCATCTTCTTTTTCTTAGATAAGTCCCTTTAACATTTCATATAATAAGGGCTTGGTGATGATAAACTCCTTGAATTTGACCTTATCCGAGAAGCACTTTATCTGCCCTTCCATTCTAAATGAAAACTTTGCTGGATAGAGCAATCTTGGTTGTAGGTCTTTGGACTTCATGACTTGGAATACCTCTTTCCAGCCCCTTCTTGCCTGTAAGGTCTCTTTTGAGAAATCAGCTGACAGTCTGATGGGAACTCCTTTGTAGGTGACTGTCTCCTTAGCTCTTGCTGCTTCTAGGATTCTTTCCTTCATTTGAATCTTGGCTAATGTAATTATGATGTGCCTTGGTGTGTTCCTTCTTGGGTCCAACTTCTTTTGGACTCTCTGAGCTTCCTGGATTTCCTGGAAGTCTATTTCCTTTGCCAGATTGGGGATGTTCTCCTTTATTATTTGTTCAAATAAGTTTTCCACTTGTGGCTGTTCTCTTCCCCTTCTGGTACCCCTATAATTCTGATGTTGGAATGTTTAAAGATGTCCTGGAGGTTCCTAAGCCTCTCCTCATTTTTTTGAATTCTTGTTTCTTCCTCCTTTTCTGTTTGGTCATTTTTTTCTTCCTTCTGGTCCACTCCCTTGATTTGAGTCCCAGTTTCCTTTGCATCACTATTGGTTTCCTGTACATTTCCATTCATTTCAATTAGTTTAGCCTCCATTTGTTCCTCTAATTTGTGACTAAAATCAACCAGTTCTGTAAGCATCCTGATCATCAGTGTTTTGAACTGTGCATCTGGTAGGTTGGCTATCTCTTGGTCGCTTAGAATTATTGGCTCTGGGGCTTTGAGCTGTTCTTGAGCCATAATGTTTTGCTCTGTTAGCACCTGTTATGTATGAGGGGCGAAGCCTTAGGTGTTCACCAGAGTGAGGCAATCCCGGTTGCTGGGTTGTGACGCTGTATCTAGGGGCAGGGTCAGAGAGGGGCAATGGCGCTTGTTACACACTCTCTCTCAGATTTCTGTTCCCTCTACCACTTCCCATAAGCAAATTGGGCCCTTCTGGTGCTGGTTCCTTGGTGTGTGGGCCTGTGCACCCTCCAGGACCCCCTGGGTCTCTCCAACAAACTATCTGTGAGCCTGGGAGCCTCTCCTAGCACCTCGACCTTGAAAATTTTTCCAATTGGTGCTTTTAGGCTTTAATTCCCATTGCTGGGGCCCTAGCCTGCATGGTCTGTCTCACTGCTCGCTCCTTCACCTAGTTTATCTGCGCATGAATGTGTGACCATGGTCAGCCAGTCGCCTTGAATCCTCACTGGGTCTGCCTGTTGTCCCCCCACATCTGGGAAATGCCAACTGCTGCCTGTGCTCCTGGGTCAGTCTGGTTGCTTTTTCCTGCCTGACCCTGCCCTGCCGCTGACTCCGCTCCTCTTACCGGTCTGGCTGAATAGTTTGTTGTTGTGGGCCTTTCGTACAGTTAAATTTTCTGTGTTTTGGCTGCACTTTTGTTAGTAAAACTTTGTTGTCTTTATACTTGGTTGTGTGAGGAGGCACAATGTTTCCACCTATGCCTCCATCTTGGCTGGAAGTCCCCAGATTATTCTTCATCGTTCAGCAAGAAATATTTCTTCTTCATCTCTATGGTTTCTTGTCAGGAAAAATGTGGGGAAAGCCAAAGGAAGAAGCTATTAGGAGGGAAGGTCAAACTCTGATCTTCCTGGAAAAAGCAGTCTGGTGGTATCAGAGTGAACTGGGACTTGGAATAATTGGCTGGGATCAGGAGGCTCATTTTACTCCCAGTTTAGACCAATATTTTGAGTTGTCTGTGGAACGTTCTTTAATTCCCTTGGGTTCAGGCTCAACATTTGTGAGATGATGGGGTTGGTAGACACAAACTCCATGGTTCCCGTATTTTCTAAATTGAGATATAGTGTAGATATAACATTACATTAGTTTCAGGTTTACAACAAAAGGATTTAATATTTGAATACATTGCAGAATAACCTGCACAATGTCTAGTTATCCTTCAACACCTTACACAAATATAGAAATTTTTTTTTCTTTGATAAGAACTTCCAGGTTCGACTCTGTTAGTAAATTTTAAATATGCCATCCAATATTATCAATGGCTCCTTTACCAGTAGTAGAATGAACAGTGGCCCATTCATTGACAATGAGCAATGAAAAAATCAGCATGACTGGAAATAAACTTTCCTCTGCAAACTTGGATTGCGATGGAGAAAAACATATTCATGGTAATTTAACTGTCCACTACCAAGGTAAGTAGTTACTAAACAGAGTTTTGAATACTTCATGGTTTTTTTCAAGGAAGAATTGATTGCGCAAAATTATAGGAATAGATTTTTTTTTGCTGTAATTGAAAAATTATAATTCTGGGGTTTTTTTCTGTATGAAGTGAGAGCTTTGTAACTTGTACGATGGTCAGTGACAGACTCAAAGACAAGGTGAAGATGCTCATGTTACACAGAATTATGTTCTCAAGAGTTCCCTCCCATGGTGTCCAAACTCGATAGTCCTGAGGCCTATGATAATGCTGAGTGTTAATCTTGTGATTAGATTGTTACTTGGCACTGTTGACTTTAAGAAATAGATTACTGACCCTTAATCTTTGACCCAAATTGGTGACTCCTTGGAGATATCTCTCTTGCTGTTGACCTCAGGTGAACTCAGGTGGTGAACCCTGCATCAAGCTGAAGCTGAGCCAGACCACTTGGGGCCTCAGGAAGCCCAAGGCCAGTGTCATCTGGGCAATTGCGTGGGCAGGCCACGTGATGTCCACGCCCCAACTAGGCCCTGTCCTGATTCAGTGAGTCATTTCCATCAACTAGTTCTGCAAGGATGTCCATGAGAGACAAAGGACATCAAAAAAGTCATCTCTTTGTCTACCAAGACCTTCGTTTAGCATTACAGGACATTTGAAATTCTGATTGGATATCTCACTGTTTCCTACTTCCTGAAAGCAGCTGCTGGGATTGAGAAATGGGCTCAGCAGATAGCGAAGGAGCTGGCAGGCCTGGTGATCTTGAAGCATGTGTATGAGACTGTTTATGATAAAGCTCAGGATGATGCCTTTGCCCTGGAGAATGTGCCCCTATCAGCTTTATCCACTCCATCATTGGCTCTACCCATACCCTGGGCATTAGTGTGGTGAAGGACCTCAATTCTGAAGAAATGGCCACTTTCCCAGAAGGAACATCTGCATTCTTGTCTCCTCAGCAAGAGACAGATTTGGCAGCTCAGGCACACAGTGCCAAGAGTGACCCCTGTCCTGCATACTCCAGGACTTTGAAGGAAGCACCTGGAAAGGGGCTACCAGGAAGTCTGTGCCAAAGGGGAGGAAGGGAGGTGACACCACCTGGATTATCATTTCTATTATGTTAGGTTATATATTTTATATGTATGGAAGCATCAAGTGTTCAAGCCTCAATAAATATCTTTTGTCACCCCTGCAAAAAAGAAACAGAGAAAGAAAGAAGAAAGCAAGAAAACAAGAGAGAGAGAGAGAGAGAGAGAGAGAGAGAGAGAGAAAATAAGAAAGAAAGAAAAAGTTACTCAAGTGGTCATGCCAAAAGATATGAGTCCTTTAAAAGCAGTTTTTTCCAGTTGGTGGCAGAGAGGTAGTCGAAGGTATCAGGAACAAGACAAGGATAAAAATCAAAGGTATCAGAAACAAGACAAGGATACAATCCGCCATTGCTGCCTTGAAGATGGAGGGGGAGTTCCCAAGAGTCTCCGTATGTTGTTAGTTTCAAGTGTACAACATTTGACCCTTGTTTTGGTACACAGAGAAGAGCACTTACACATCTTGTGCTAGGATCCTGCCTGAAGAATTGTGAACTAATAAATGTGTGCTTTTGCAATCTGCTGATAAGTATGTATTAATTTTTTTGGTATAATAAAACATAGAGTCAATCTTTCATAAAAAGGATGAAGAGAAGCTTGTTGAGTCCTGTCACTCAGAGGTATCCAAGCTTCTTTTACAATGGGAAACCCATGAACTATGTGTCAGAACAAGTATGTCCAGGCATCATTCCAGAAGAACAGGAATTAGGAAGGATATATGCTAAGACAAAGTACCACAAGCTTCTGGATCTCCTGTTTTTCATCCTTGAAGGAGTTCTCCATGAAGATCACAATGGCTTCCCTCTCACAGGCCACGTGCAGGTCCAGCAGCTCCTGGAGCAAGTCTGTGAGGAACCTCACTTGCTGGGCCATCAGCTGGCTGCAGTGCGTGGCTGCCATCTGCACAGCCAGTGAGTTCTCACGCTGGGATAGAGTTGGGCTGCACTCTCCAAACAAGGCACCGCTCCACTATTGATGGCATCCACAAAGACCATTGCCAGAGTCTCCAGCCCTGAATTACACATGGGATTTAAGGAATGAACAGGAAGTTCTTGTTCTTTATTTTAGAGATTTAGAGATCAGCATTCTAAGACTCACAATAATTTTATTTAAATAAAGTTTTCATTTTGTTACCTATTTTTTCCTCTCCTTCTAATCTTCCTTCTTGACCTCACCTTTTCTACTCCTCCCTGCTCTTCTATGGATCTATTTCCTTATAATAACATACTATGTCTCCTAGTCATATACTTTCATATGGTTATCAAATTCATTCCATTACAATATTAAATTAGTAATCTGAACCAATATATTCAAGGAAGTCCCAAAACACTTTCACCATTGAAATAAAATAAAAATAATTTATTTCACAGGTGAGTACAATGGGCAAAGTGTGGGCACTATTTCCAAATGAAATTGTGGGGACCTTGAAAAATATTATTAAGAACTTCAAGACAGTGACATAGACATTAAACCAGCACAGAGCACTTTGTTTCTGACCAGATTGCATGTTCATGAATTCAGCACTTAATATAAAATTACATATAAATTTGTTTCTCCAGCTCTCCGTGCACTTTAAGAGACGAACTAGTGTAACTAGTTAATCTTCTAACTACTGTAAATTTACAAAATATCTTGTGTGTCTCCCCATGAGACAATCATTTGTCCTCTCGTCATCATGCAGATTCCTATGCTTAGGAGCAGCTTGTGCTTATATTGTTAGTGTACTAGTTTCATCAGACATAATAGGCTTTAATAATCCTTTATATAGAGAAGCTTTAATGAAACAACATGCATGTCTATGTGTGGCATGAATCTCTGCTTTTCCACATCACACAGAGAACGGAACAACAGTACTGATAGACCCTGGGTGCGATCACAGCTCCATCGCACCCACTGAACCTCAGAAATACATGGTGTAGCAGAGAAGACTATTTCCAGTGACAGTGTTTTTCTCTCTGAGGATCTTGGTTTGGGCATGCATAAACATACAGGTACAGAAATTTTTGGATTGCACCTGGAAACTACATCCCCATTGGTTTTCTGATTCTTCCTTAATACAGTGGAAGAGTTTGTTGTCACCTGAGAGCTGGACAAAGACAAAGCAATTCTGCTTGGAGAAGAACTTCTTGATAGATTCTCTGGACATGTTGGAATTTTGGATTTGAGGATCCTTACCTTCAGAAGTGAAAAAAGAGCAATCATCGATGAGACAGTTCCTAGGCAAGGGGACTGGGTACCTTCATTTCCTAACTTAATAGCAGCTTGTGCTTATATTATTAGTGTACTAGTTTCCTCAGATATAATAGGCTGGGAAGTTGCACCACTGTAACTCTGGTGCCTGTAAAACTCCTTTTATCTAATCATGCAAATCTAGCTTTCTAATCTACTCAAGACTTAGAATCCGCCCCCCCACCCCCCTTACAGAACTGAGACTTGGGGAAGCACAGTGATCACTCACCTATCTTGGGAGTTAAGTTCCAGAGACCCCCACGATAGGTGAAAATCTGTGAAGTGGCGACGTTATATTTATTTTATTATTTATATATTTTTAAGGCTTTATAAACCCTTCCCACACTCCTATAAACCTTTTCCACACTCTTATAAACACTTCATATGCTCTTAAACAGTTTCTACACTCTTAAACCTACATAATTTTAACAAGATATGAAATTCTATATGGATACTCACCAGTGAAGTGTACAATTGTCCATCGCTATATCACAATCACTTATTGCAGCTTCACTGTATTGCAGGACCTGCAATACATACAAAACAAGGAACGCAGAATTGTTCCTTAGCTCTTGTATGATGTGCACTGGATTGACTATTTGTTAGATAGTTGTTGAATAATAAATTATTCCACCAATTTTCAGAAATAGTTTCTCAACAATACAGTCTCCACGACAGAAATAAAATGTGGGCTCTAAAGTAAAGATAGAAATAAAAATATGTATATTATTTCAGTGAAAAAAAACCATGTACAATACAGATGATACTCGGGACAGTATATAAAAGCTTGATAAAATTAGAGTTCCCTGAAAACATAGACAACCTATACATGTGTTGAAAGATCCTTTTGGAAGACAGTACCAAATATTAAGGTGAACCTAAATGTATGTTGGATCCCCCACCTTTTTTTGAATCAGATTATATTGGAGTTGACAACGTCATACAGAGGGATCCTGCACATGTATCAGCCGCTTGATAAATATTTGTCAATAAATGAATAAGTAACCAAATAAACAAAACGGATATCCCTTCCAAGTACCACTTTTATCTCTTCTGCTAAAAATCATCATCCCAGTAATGAATTCATTATTGTAACAAGACAGCATATTGTATGAGACTGGAGAATGAAGAGAGTGTTATTATGAGAAAGAGAACATGAAGGATTTGACAGTGTTACTGAAAAGACATGTTGGTAATTCCTTAAGAACCATCGAAAAAATAAATAGTGTATAAATAGCCTTCATATGAAAGTCATAACTATGCAGGACAAGAAAATAGGCTGCACAAAGTATATTTCAAAATTAAGTCATTGATATCTTTGTGACTCTGTGTTTACTGTTTTTCAGTGGATGAGCATTTTCCTCTAAATAGAAGTGAGGGAGCTCTGAACATAGTAAGTAACACAGGTATTTGAGACTTAAGAAGTTTCAGTACTAGCTATAGTCCTCACATTTTTATTCATGCTGACAATTTATCTGAATTTGGTTGGTCTGATATAAGATTTTATCTCCTCAGTGAGCTTCATGTGTGCTCAGTGGGGTTGTTCCAGGAATAATAGCAACTGAAACAATATCCACTTGTCATACACATAACACCATTTGCATGGGCTAAATCCAATCTTAAACCAAGGTTAAAATTTATTTCTTTATTAAAAATTTTTTTAGAGAGAGAGAGAGGGGAAGGAGGAAGGGAGAGAGAGACAGTGATAGAGCTAGAGAGAGGGAGAGGGAGAAAGGGAGACAGGAGAGAGAGGCAGGGATTCATTTGTTGTTCCACTTATTTATGCATTCAGTGGTTGATTCTTATATGTTCACTGACCAGGGGTCAACCCTGCAACTTCTGTGTATTGAATGATGCTCTAGCCAACTGAGCTAACTGGCTGTGTCTTAAATAAAAATTGATGTTAAATGCTGAGTGATCCCACCTCGTACTGTCATCTTCCGTCACTCAGACCACCCTCTGATACCTGGAATCACCTTCAAGGCATTCTGCAGGTACTCCTCTGCAGTGATGGTGCATCTGTCCCTCTCCAGCTCCAGCATGAATTCACATACAGCCCAAACAAAGTCTGGAAAGAAATTCACAAACTTGGCTAAGTCATCTACTTCACCACGGCTGGGAGAGGATTTTGTTCCAATTAGTTTGTGCTAATCTTCAAAGCCCAGGGCCTTGGGCTAAAACCTTAGTAAATGTCCTTGGAGTCACTGAAATTTTTCTGCAGATCTTTTCAGAGGATTATTTCATGGACACCCTATTTTCGTGGGTTCCATACCCAAGCGCATCAACCTCACACACACCTTAACTAGTGGAGCTTATTGACCTCTTGATTATAGTTTTTTCAGGAGGCTTTTCCTCACCGACAACTGAGTGAGATTCTCACTTTTTGTATCCATGGTACTCTGTACTGATAAAATGTTATATTGTTTATTACTGCTACTAGGCTCCGGGACTTGACTTCATTCCCTGGGATATCTGAAGTACATCACTTAAAGCCCTAGAATTTAGCTGCCCCCGAAATATTTAGCTTGTATCTTTTACCCCAGGGTTAAAAATGAGATCTATCCCTAATAACCAAAGTATTGAGTTTACCAATAAAGTAAATTCAAAGAAGCAGAATTTGACCTCATTATTCTTAATTGGATTTGTAGTTTTCAGAAATATATCATAAAAGTTGAAGTCAGTTGGCAAATTAAAACATAAGTGGAGTATCAAGAGCAAAGAAAAGTCTCTGCTTTCCCCTTTCCACCTCCTCCAGACCCTCAGTGTCCAGAAGAACCAGAGTGTGGTTAGGCTTGGAGGGATGAGGTACATACCACATCCAGATGCCCTTGGTTTCAGTCCTAACTGTGGAGCCCAGATAGAAACCTACAAAGGAGAAGGAGAAAGCAACCTATGAGAATACAGTAACAGTAGACAGCCCATGCTGCCCCTGGGTCACACTGTTTAAACTTGTCAGAATGTGAGTGCCAGACTGGGAGCTCGGCTGCTTCCTTTTTAGCAAGGGCAACCTTCATATACATTACGGACTTTCTCAAGAAACACTTTGTGTCTCCTGTTCACTTCATACTATCAATAGGTCAAGCTATGTCACATTACAGAATTAATATAAACTCAGCCTTTATTTTGTTTTCTGACAGTTTCTGATGGAGCTCAACCAGTGGGAGGTACAAGCAGGGGCCTAGAGGTCAAGCCCTTGTTTCCCCCTAGGGAGCCAGGATATGCCAGTGCCTGTTCCTCTACCCTGAGTCACAGCTCCTTTCAAGTAGCTCCATTCCATATCTTTTATCAAGTCTTTTACCATAGTTTTATGAGAATATGGGGAATTCTCAATTACTGCGGATAAGCATATAAATTGCACATAAAACCTGAAAACTTAGGTTGCTTCTAGCATTTGGCTACTGTAAACTGTGCTGCTATGAACATTGGGGTTCATAGGTCCCTTTGAAATGGTGTTTCAGGATTCTTAGAGTATAATCCCAGAAATGGAATTGCAGGCTCAAAAGGCAGTTCCATTTTTAGTTTACTGAGGAAATTCCATACTGTTTTCCACAGTGGCTGCACCAGTCTGCATTGCCACCAACAGTGCACTAGGTTTCTGTTTTCTCCACAACCTTGCCAACACTTGTTCATTGATTTATTATGGCCATTCTGACTGGTGTGAGGTGGCATCTCATTGTGGTTTTAATTTGAATCTCTCTGAGGGCTAGAGATGCTGAGCATCCTTTCATATGTCTCTGGGCCCTCTGTATGTCCCCCTTAGAGAAGTGTGTGTTCAGATCCTTTCCCCATTTTTTAATTAGATTTTTTGTTTTCTGGGTATGGTGTCAAATTCTTTATATATTTTGGAGGGCGAACTCTTGTCCAAGGTATCTTTGGCAAATATATTTTCCCATACGGTTGGTTCCCTTTTCATTTTGCTGATGTTTTCTTTAGCTGTGCAGAAGCTTTTTAATTTAATGTAGTACAATTTGTTTATTCTTTCCTTTATATCCCTTGCTCTAGGGGATGTATCAGTGAAAATATTGCTGTATTGAGTCTGAAATTTTCCTGCCAATGTTCTCCTCTAAGACTTTCATGGTGTCAAGACTTAAGTCTTTTATCTATCTTAAGTTTATTTTTATGTATGGTGTAAGTGGGCAGTTCAGTTTCATTTTTTTTTTTCGAATGTAGCAGTCTAGATCTCCCAATGTCATTTGTTGAAAGGGATAGTTTTACTCCATTTTATGCTGCTGTCCCCTTTGTTGAATATTATTTGACCATGTCTCTTCTTATGCCAGTACCAGACTGTTTTGATTACAACGGCCCTGTAACATGGTTTGATATAAGGTATTGTGATCCCTCCTACTTTGTTATTCTTTCTCAAAATTGCTGAGTCTATTCAGGATTGTTTGTGTTTCTATGTCAACTTTGAAATGTTTCCTCTATATCTATAAAATATATCATTGGTATTTTAATAGGGATTGCATTGAATCTATAAATTGCTTTGGGTAGTATGGACATTTTGATGGTGTTAATTCTTCCAATTCATGAACATGGTATATGCTTCCATTTATATGTGTCTTCCTTAATTTCTTTCTTCACCATTCTGTAGTTTTCTGAGTATAGGTCTTTTACTGCCTTGGTTAGGTTTAGTCCTAGGTACTTTATTTTTATTGTTGCTATAGCAAATGGGATTTTTTTCTAATTTCTGTTTCTGATATTTTGTTGTTGGTGTACAACAATGCCTTTGATTTCTGAATACTGACTTTGTATCCTGCTGTTTTGCCAAATTCACTTAAGTTGAGTAGCTTTTTGGTGGAGTCTATAGGATTTCCTATGTATACTATCATGTCTTCTGCAAATAATGATAGTTTTACTTCCTTCTCTCCAATTTGGATGCCCTTTATTTCTTTTTCTTGTTCAATCACTGTGGCTAGGACTTCCAATACTATGTTGAATAGAAGTGGTGTTGAACAGAAGAACAGAACAAGAATAGACATCCTTGTCTTGTTCTTGATCTTAGTGGGAAAGCTTTTAGTTTTTGCCCATTGAGTATTATGCTGGCTGTAGGTTTCTCCTAAATGGCCTATATTGTGTTGAGGTACACTCCCTCTACTCCCATTTTGCTGAATGTTTTTTATCATAAGTGGGTGCTTTACCTTATCCAATGCTTTTCCTGCATCTATTGATATGATCACATGATTTTTGTCTTTCCTTTTGTTTATGTGATATATTACATTTATTGCTTTGCAAATATTATACTATGCTTGCATCTCTGGAATGAATCTTACTTGATCATGGTCATGACCTTTTTAATGTATCAGTGGATGCAGTTTGCCAATATTGTGTTGAGGATTTTAGTGTCTATGTTCATCAATGATATTGGTCTGCAGTTTTCTTTCTTTGTTATGTCTTTATTTGGTTTTGGGATTAGGATGATTCTGGCCTCATAAAAAAGTTTGAGAGTCTTTCCATTTCTTGGGTTGTTGGGAATAGTTTGAGAAGAATAGGAGTTAATTTTTTTTTTTAATGTTTGGTAAAATTTGCTTGTGAAGCCTTCCTTTCCAGGACTTTGGTGTGTTGGTTTTTTTTTTAATTACTGCTTCAATTTCACCAGCTGTTATTGGTCTGTTCAGGCTTTCTGCTTCTTCTCGATTCAGTTTTGGAAGATTGTATGTATCTAAGAATTTATCTATTTTGCCTAAGTTATCCAATTTCTTGCCATATCGTTGTTCATAGTAGTTTCTTACAACCTTGTGTATCTCTGTAGTATTGGTTGTTACTTCTCTTTCTTTTCTGATTTTATTTATTTGGGTCCTCTCTCTTTTTTCTTGATGAGTGTGCTTAAAGATTTGTCAGTTTTGTTTATCTTTTCAATGAACCAGAACCTGGATTCACTGGTTGTTTGAATTGTCTTCTTAGTCTCTATGACATTTAAGTTTGCTCTGATTTTGATTATTTCCTTTCTTCTATTCAGTCTGGACTTTGTTTGTTGTTATTCTTCTGGTCCTGTTTGATGTAGGGTGAGGTTGTTTATTTGAAATGTTTATATCTTTATTAGGTAGGCTTGTATTACTATGAACTTCTCTCTGAGGACTGCCTTTATTATGTTCCATAGGTTATGGGCTGTTGTTTATTTTTTTTAAAAGATTTTATTCATTTATCTTTAGAGGGAAAGGGAAGGAGAGAAGGAAAGAAATATCAATGTGTGGTTTCCTCTCGTGGATCCCCTGCTGGGAACTGGCCTGCAACCCAGGCATGTGCCCTGACTGGGAATTGAACCGTGATTGTGTGGTTCGCAGGCCCGAACTCAATCCACTGAGCTACACTAGCCAGGGCCTGGACTGTTGTTTATTAATTTTCATTCATTTTCAGCTACTTTTTAATTTCTTTCTTTATTCCATTGTTAACCCATTCCTTATTTAATAGCATGTTATTCAGTCTCTATGTATTTCAATGCTTTTGTGTTTTCTCCTTGATGTTGGTTTCCAATTTCAAGCCATTGTTGTCTAAGAAGATGCTTGATATAATTTCAATTTTCCTGAATTTTTTGAGGTTTATTTTGTGCCCTGAGATGTGGTTTCTTTTTGGAAATAATCTGTGTGCATTTGAAAAGAATGTATATTTCCCTTCTTTGAGGTGAAATGCTCTATAAATATCAATTAAGTTCATTTGATCTAGGGTGTCATTCAACATCACAGTATCCTTGTTGATTTTTTGTTTTGAAAATCTACCCATTGTTAGATTGGGGTGTTAAAATCCTGTACAATGACTGTACAATTTCCTTCTGAAATTCTTAGATTTTCTTAGACATTTAGGTTCTCCTATGTTGGGTACATATATGTTTACTAGGGTTATATCTTTTTATTGTACAATTCCCTTAAGTATTATGTAGTGAACTTCATTGTCTCTTATTATGGCCTTTGTCTTGAAGTCTATTTTGTCTCATTACATATTGCTACCCCAGCTTTTTTTTTATGTCCATTTGTTTGGAATTTCTTTCCATTCTTTCACTTTCAGGCTGTGTAGATCTTTTGTTCTGAGGGTGGGTCTCAGACAGCATATATCTGAGTCATGTCTTCTTGTCCATTTAGCTATTCCATGTCTTTCTACTGACATAGAAAGACATTTACATTTAATCCACTTACATTTAAGGATATGATTGATAGGCATTTATTTATTGTCATTTTTCCCATTATGCCTGTGTTCTCCTTCTCTCTCTTCATCTTATTAAAGCAGTGCCTTTACCATCTCTTACAATGCTGTTTGGATGGAGATGTACTCTTATAGTAATTTTTTGTGTGGGAAGTTCTTTATTTCACCTTCCATTTTAAACGAGATCCTTGTTGGATAGAATAGTCTTGGTGTATGTCTTTTCCTTTCATTACTTGGAATATTTCATGCCATTACCTTC